TAATATTTGTTTTTTAGTTTTCGGCAGACACAACATCTTTGTTTGTATGTGGTGCTGAGGATCAAACCCGGGCCGCACACATGCATCCCCAGCCTAAGGCAGAACATTTTGAGGCTGCCAGAAATTATCTTAGAGACACCTACCTAGCCTACAAAACCCAAGAATCAACCCACGAATTACAAAATCACCTTTGTCCTAAGGAAAAAGGAAGGGGTTGCCATCACCAGAAGAGGATGGGACTCTAAGGACAGAACAAAGTCGGTGAGAACCACCCACAAGGATGGAAGGGAACAGCAAGGAAGCAAAAGGCACTGTGGGTCACCCCTGGATGAAGGCGAACACGGCTACAGACCAAGGACAATGTGGGGAAGGCCTAAGGCTTTGAAGCTTTGTCACGTTTACTAATGTCATCTCTCCAAAAGAGACACGTAAATCCATAGACACGTACATAAATACGTTAACATTTAGGGGCTACTCCCTAGGAGGCCCCATGCTCGCCTCTACATACATGTTTTCTCATGTAACGCTCGTTGACGACCCTATGAGGCCATCCTTCCATTCTCCTCTGACAGATGGGGGAACTGGCACTTGCTGAGGTCGCCAGCAGGCAGTGGAGTCTAGGCTCAAACCCGGTCTGCCTGATCCCAGAGCACAGGAGCTCTCGAGCTACTCCACCAAGAAAAACTAGTTAAAAAGAAAAGGGTGAAGTGTGGAAGGCAACGCAGCCGGCGAAGAGGAGTGGCCGAGTACACGGAGCCACACACCAGTTACAATTTTCCAGAATGCACACAGCTGACAGCCCACTCTTTCGCTCACCTTGTAGGGAAACTTCCTGCTACTCAGAATGGGCTGTCAGATTTAGGAAGCCTGAAAGAGAAGAAGCCACATCTAGGGATGCGATCCTTGGAAGCGAAATGTCTCCCCTTACTGTTGACACCAGTGGTTGTGGCAAAAAGTTAATCCAGGTAATTCTAGCTGGAGGTGCCTTCCATTTATAGGCTACCTCATTTTAACACAGTCCCTGACCCAACACACAAAAATGCCACAGTGTGGCCTGAAATTTAACCAACGTTGTTTAACACAACTATATCAAAGTTTTAGTCACACTGGCCTTGGGTGGGCCCTTTCACCACACCTCCTCACTCTTGGACGTCACAGTATAGTTCAGAAAGCCAGCTCCTTCCCTCACCTCATGAGAGCCTCACAACAAACCTATGAGGTGAGGCTTATTATTTTTATTTTACAGATGAGGAAACCAGGACTTAGAGAGGCTAAGTAAGTAATTTGCCCAAGATCATGGAGCTAGTAAGTGGCAAAGAAAAAGACACTCGAGAAATACAGGTAACACTAAAAACTCAAACAGAATAAATGGTACATTCGAGTAACAGTTGGTGAAGAAGATTTTGAAAATGAATGGCCACAGGTTAGACACTATTAGGCCAATATGGTTATTCCCCTTAATAGAATTTTTTGGTTGACACATAATATTTGTACATATTTATAGGGACACAATAAGATTTTTAGAAAAGGTGATGTGAAGCAAGTGAGGAAATTTGTTAACTTTCAAATAAATCCAAGTCATCTTAGTAACAGTGTAGCTTCTTCACATGAACCAGTCTTATAACTTAGAAGACCTCTCAAACTTTAGAATCAATTTAGAAAATAATATATTAAGAAGCTTGTCATGCCATCAAGTGGCCAATGGGGCTGTGTAGCAATAAGACTAGTTTTATTTGAGCTATAAAAACTACTGCAGACAATATTATCACTACCAGTAATAATTTGGCAAATTGAAGTCAATACACATGGACAGGGAGTGACTTACTGTGCTCATGTAGTTCAGATAATTGAAGACCCGATATAATGGCTTCTGCTGTGATGGGGATTAACTACACAGTAATTAATGACAGTTTGAAATGGAAGGACAATCATGTAGCGGAGAAAACAATAAAAATGTCCCAACAAAGGTATTAAAACAAGGGTGATAAATGTTTTATTAGCAACAATCTGGAACTGTAAAACGGTCTGGTGCATACTAGGTGTTGTCCCATGTTGTAGGGGATTAACCACCACCAAATACATGAAAAAGGAAGCAATTAATTCAGTGACAATTAATTCCTCCCAATTTTCAAATCTAAGTGATTACATCCAGTGAAAGTAGGACTACAACTCTGCAGAGTGATCAGGGGACATCCATGGTTTTATATCATTAATAGGTAAGAGAACAAGAGTATAAAAAGTTTGGGACTGAAGTTGTGGCTCAGGGGTGAAGCACTTGCCTAGCATATGTGGGACACTAGATTTGATCCTCAGCACCACATAAAAAAATAAACAAACAAAATAAAGTTTAAAAAAAAGTTTGTCTTGACAATTTGAGATATGGTGGTATTACTGTCCTAGATATAAAAAGCTCAGTTGATGACAGGTGCTGACAAGATATGGTGACCCTGATCCAAACATAAAATGGGACAGTATACCTCAGTGCCTGATGAATGGGTAGACAGATGGGTTTATATGTTAGCCACATGTTTATCAAAGGCAATTATAAACTATGCTGAAATGGATGTATTACCAATTAACAACCCCTGCCTATGATCAGAATGCTGTTAGTTACAAGTGACACAATACTAAACTATAATGTTTAGATAGTAAACCACAATATTAGGCTGCTGGGTTGGTGTCTCCACTATCTCTGGCCTTTCCCTTGGGTTACAAATTAGCTGCTACAACTTACAGCATCTTCCTTTCACACTACCACATTTAGAAACAGGTGGCAAAAACAGGCTTCCTTCTCAGAATGATTGCTCTCTGGTTCAAAAAGAAAACCCTTCTCCAAGCCCTCTCTCAAGAGATGCTCAATGAGATGAGACCTTCCCTAAGCCACTCACTGAGATGACCAAAGGATTATCATAAAAGGATTACACCAACTCTAATACTGCCTAAGAGCATCATCATTTACGGAACATCTGGATAAAATTATGGTTCTTGAGAAAGGAAAAAGCGGGGTCACCTGGAAAGACTACCAAGGAGCTAATCAAGAGGGCCTGCCACACTGGTCAACAGACCAGATAGCTCACCCCCATTACCAACACCCCCACTGCCACTACAGAGGCACATTCGTTATAATTGATGAACCTCTAGTGGCACATCATCATCACCTAAATCCATGGTTAATTTTTCTTGGTTTTCGCTCTTGATGTCAAACATTCATGGATTTAAACAAATATATAATGATGTCAATCTACCATTATAGTATTTACTATAAAAATTCTCTGTGCTGTGCCCATTCATCCCTCTCTCTACCTCAATCCCACCAATCAGTGATCTTTTTACTGTCTCCAGAGATTTGCCTTTTCCAGAAAGTCATATAATTGGAATCACAATTTGCACATTATCTTTACCTCCCCACTGATTTTGTAAAGGAAGGAAGGGTGGATATTATGACACAGGAGCCAGGAGGGAGGCAACTTAGGTCTGTACTTCCCAAATCATTAACTTTCCTCACACATTACAGCTCTTCTAGAAAACAAGTTCAAAAATTAAACATACCCAAAGACAAAGGCCAAAGTTCTGAGCTGAGAAGGTGACCTACCAGCTCATTTAAATTCACTGTAATGAGTGATACCCATGAAAGAAAGGGGTAATAAAGTGAAAATTGGGGGTATGGATACATACTCACAAAAATTAAACCACAGTCTCTGTTGTACTTAAAAAGAATATATTAAGAGTTTTACGAGAGTCATAGTCTCCAGCGGGGTTCTAACTCTACTGTACGTATGCCTGGGATTCCTTGAATTTGTCAAATTCAAGACCTGAAGAACACCAGACCACAGTTACATGCTATTTGCCCTGGTTCTCGCAGTGTGAGGGAGGCGGGTCAAGCCTACTTATATTCAGAAGCAGAGAGCCCCAGAAACCAGATCTCCTGCTGGAAGGTAGGGAGAGTGGTCACCGATCCGTAGGTTTCAGGGATAATATTCATAAAACCTCCAAAGTGAGATAATTTCCCATTTAGTAACGGACCATTTAGAGAAGAAAAATGCTCATCTCCTGGTTCAAAATAGGGCAGAGAAAGAGCTAGAAAAGGACAAAATGGAAATGGTCACTTCAACAAAATAGGAGAGAGTGATGCAAGAAGTAGAAGCATGAAAGGAAAAATGTCTTGACTTACTTTTTGGTGAGTCGAGGGTCCAAAGGAGGGTGTTGTGCTCCATACACCGGCTGGATACTAAAAAAAGAAACAGGAATAAGCAAGTAGTCAGGAAGCCACACATGTGGGCTGAGTACCATCTATCACCAAATTGGATGGGATCTTTGAGAAATAGGTTACCTCCTAGAACAACTCAACCAGGAGATACTAACCTACTGGGGGAAAAAAATGGCAGGGGTGGGGAGCTGAGGCTTTAGCTCAGTGGTAGAGCACCTTTCTAGCATGCATAAGGCTGAGCTCAACGCCTAGCACTCCCCATACACACACGCTGTAGTCTTTGGGGCTGCAGTACATGTACCTCAGTGACAATACAAGTGCTTAACATGCACAAGACCTTAGGTTCACTCCCCAGCACAAAATGAAATAAATTTTTTTTAATTTAATGTTTTAAAAAGTCTTTTGATAAGCATGGTGCACACCTATAATCCTGTTTGGGAGGCTGAAGCAGGAGGATCACGAGTTCAAAGCCAGCCTCAGCAATGACAAGGCATTAAGCAACTCAGCAAGACCTTATCTCTAAATAAAATACAAAATAGGGAGCTAGTGATATAGCTTGGTTGGTAGAGTGCCTGTCTTGCATGCACAGGCCCTGGGTTCAATCCCCAACACCACACACAAACACACACACACACACACACACACAAATAAAATACAAAATAGGCCTTGGAATGCGGCTCAGTGGCTGAGTGCCCCTCAGTTCAATCCCCAGCACAAAATACATACATACATAAATACATACATACATACATACATACATACATAAAATTAAAAATGGTATGGGGATGTGGCTCAGTGGTTAAGTGCCTCTAGTTTCAATCCTTGGTACAAAAAAACAAAAAATAAAACGATCTCCTGCCTGAAGAAACCAGGAGAGGACAAGTTTCAACTGAAATAAGTGGAAAAACTATAGTAAAAGGTCCAGTATGGGACTAAGCTCAAATTTGAGACTTTATGGTTGTAGAGAGAGTGTGAAGGTAATATAACAGACAAATTAAAACAGAAAAGAGGAAAATAAGGACAAATAAATACCTTAACTTTCTCATCTTTGAGAGCTCACAAAATATTTAAGCTGATAGCTCAAACAACAGAAGCATTAAGTATATTTTAAGATAGAAACAAGACCATAATAATAGCACATGCCTAGAATCCCAGTGATTCAGGAGGCTAAAGCAGAAGGATTGCAAGTTCAAGGACAGCCTGGGCAACTCAGAGAAGCCTTGTCTCAAAGTTTAAAAAAAAAAAAAAAGGGCCAGGAGCATGGCTCCATGGAAGAGTGTCCCTCCCGTGGGTTCAACCCTCAGTACTACAAAGAACTAAAGACAAATAATTTTATGTTAATGTTTGATTTGTTTTGTGATGCTGAGAATCAAACCCAAGGCCTTCTGCATGCTAGGCAACTGGTCTTCCACTGAGCTACACCCTTGCCTTTAAGCAAATAAATTTATGAAATAAATAATATAAGGAACTGAAAGTAGGTGGGGAGAGAAGAAGCAAGAAACATAACTATGGATTTAATCATTGACCATTGTGGGAATTAACATATAATGTCTGAAGAAATATGATATAAAGTTTTAGGTATAGCCAGGCCTGGTGACAGACACTGAGCTGTAATCCTAGCATCTCGGAAGGCTGAGGCAGAAGGACAGAAAGACCCTCTATCAAAATTAAAAAGTAAAAAGGGAGCTGGGGATATAACTCAGTTGGTAGAGTGCTTGTCTTGCATGCACAAGGCCCAGGGTTCAATCCCCAGCACCACCAAAAAAGAAAAAAAAAAAAACATAAAAAGGACTGGGGGTATACCTCAGTGGTAGTACATCCCTTGGTTCAATTTCCAGTACCATTAAAAATACACACACACACACACACACACACACACACACACACACAATCATTAAAATTTTTTTTAAAAAAATTCCAAATTATCAGAATAGATACATGCAGGCCCCCACAAAAATAGTCACAGTCTGTGTAGTGAAAGACTTTTTTAGAAAAAGATTTTTTTTAAAGAAAATATTGAAAACAGAACTAAGAAACTAATATATTAGCTATTTCAATAAATATAAATGGGCTGAAGTTACCTATTAAAAGAAAAGGATTATTATGAACTGGTTAAATAAATTACAGTACACTAAGCTAGGGATAAAGCTCAGTGGAGAGCACTTACCAAGCACACATGAAGCCATGTGTTCAATTCCCAGCATCACAAAATAAATCAAATTATAGCACATCCTTTTTTATTTTGTTTTGTAATGGAGCTTGGACCCAGAAGTGCTGTACCACTGAGCTACACCCTGGCCCAACCTTTTTTTCCTCTCACTGTGCCCGACATAGTCCATCTTTTAAAAGGAATGAGGCAGTTCTAAATCCACTGACATGAAACAAGCTCAGACATTAACTGAAAAGAGATGCATACTATAGGTATGATACTATTTTTGTGAAAATCTTTTAAATGTCCACACATAATTATGTATGATTAAGTTGGTATATTTTTAGAGTATCTCAGAACATACAAGACACCAGTAGCAGCGGTTTAGAAAAGGAGTCTAATGACTGAAGGACAGGACAGGCTCCAAGGAGACTAGGTTTGTGTTGCAAACCCTTTTGTGCCTTTCCTTTCCGGCTCAGTATCATGTACAAGTATCACCTCTGCAAGAAATAAATCAAAGAACCTTAAGAAGGTTGGAAGGTTTAAATGGGATGATGTGTCAAAAGCCCTTTAGCACAATTCCTGGTGGGTGGTAATATTCACTTAATGGTAAGCAGGTAGTGCGATAGCTTTGCAAACTTAGAACACTACTCAGCACACACGCAGTGCCAAGAAATGTTGGCTTTCTCCCTCCTTTCATTTTTATAATTTAATCCACACCCAATATTTAGAAAACAGAACAAGTTCACCAAGTACAGAGGTGATCCTAAAAATGCTTTTAAATAAAAATGTACGCAATCCAATCATTTTCACACTGATTTCTATTATTAAGAGTTCAGGGGAACCATAGTGTACACCTGTAATCCCAGCTACTTGGGGAGACTGAGGCAGGAGGATGGCTAGTTCTAGGCTAGTCCGGGCAAACCAGCAAGACCCTATCTCAAAATAAAAAATAAAAAGGACCAGGGATATAGCTCAGTGGTAGAGCACCCCAGGTTCAATTCCTAGCACTGAAATAAATAAAATGAAGTTCAGAGGGGATTTTTTTCACCAATTACCATTAGTTTTGGATACTGCCCCTTCCTCTTTTAGCTATAAGAATCTCTGCTCCTTAAATTTCTCTGGAAGTAAGTAATCTATAGTACTATGGACACTACTACAGCAACACAAACTCTGAAAAGCAAACAATACCACTTTAATGGATTTTGAAGAGTTTCCTAGGCTGGGGGAAAGGACAAAAAATAAGAGCCAAGCATGGTGGCACGCATCTGTAATCCCAGCAGCTCAGGAGGCTGAGGCAAGAGGATCATAAGTTTGAAGCCAGTCTCAGCAACTCAGCAAGGCTCTAAGTAACTTAGTGGGACCCTGTCTCAAAAGAAAAAATAATAAGGGCGGGGTATGTGGCTCAGTGATTAAGTGGCCCTTGGGTTCAATTCCTGGTACAAAAAAAAAAAACTAAAAATAAATAAATAAATAACAAGAAATCAAAGAGTAAAGGAAGATGAGCTCTGTGGCGCATGCCTATAATCCCGGCAGCTTGAGGGAGGCTGAGGCAGGAGGATCTTGAGTTCAAAGCCAGCCTCAGCAACAGTGACACACTAAGCAACTCAGTGAGACCCTGTCTCTAAATAAAATACAAAATAGACTGGGATGTGGCTCAGAGGTTGAGTGCCCCTGAGTTCAATCCCCAGTATCAACAACAACAACAACAAAAAAAAGAGTAAAGGAGTGAAAATTTGGCTTGAGAGAGAGAGAGAGGACTTAGGATTTAGATTAAAAAAAAAAAAATTAAAACACAATGCAAAAAACCTAAAAGGTCCTTGATTTGTATTGCAGCATTTGCAGATATTCTGAGTACACTTGAACTCTCCAGGTCCACAAGTCCTCTTCTTAGTCAAACATAAAATCAGGGGATAAACTCTGCAAGAAGATCTCAATGGCTCAGTTAGATAGAAAAATAAGAGAGGATCCTTAACTGCTCTCTGTAAAAAGAGTCTTACCACCTGCCAGTAACACATGCAGAGAAAAAGCAGACCTAACCGAGCAGGCTGAAGGGCCAGAGGACATCAATTACCTAGGAAAGGAATCTTAAAATCATACTCGACTACTTTTTAAAGATGTCAGCGATGTGCTGGCACAGGCAGAAAGTCTAAGATAAATGATGGCCTTTATCAGCAAAGGTATCAGAGCCCAAATTGAATTTGTTAACACATTGCTGAACTAAACCATGATGAATCTGAACCTGGAACACTTTGTATAATAAATCAATTTAGTGCACCACAAAAAGGCCAGGCAAGAAGTTAGGAAAGGAAACCAAAATGATCACAGAGGCTAAATGAAGATGAACTAAAAGAGCCTGACAATTAAGGTGCTCAATTTCCTGATTTTATAATTCGACTATCATCCTGTTCCATCTCCACACCTCCCCAGCTCAAACTCAACTCTAGGAAAGACTGGTCTCCACTCCACCTTCCAAACATAATCTAACTATCAAATCAGGTTCTTTCCCCTATTCCAAATACTTTTTTATTTTCTTTGGTTCCAGGGATTGTACCCAGGGGCACTTAACCACTGAGCCACATCCCCAGTCCTTTTTACTTTACTTTTGAGACAGGGTTAAGTTGCTTAGGGCCTCACTAAGTTGTTGAGGCTGGTCTTGAACTTCCAATCCTCCTGCCTCAGCCTTCCAAGCTGCTGGGATTACAGGGGTGCACCAACACACCTGGATGCTTTTCTATTTTCCATATCCCTATTCAAAACTGCATCCATTTTGCAGCATTCCCTTCAAATTCTATAACCTCACTGAGACTCTCCCTATCCCAACCACCTAGCACCCACTACCCCAAGCACTCTCTGATTCCTTAACATACAT